TTTGCTTTCAATGAATAGACAGCTTGAGATGCATTCAGATATTGCTGTATAGTTTTTGTTCCTCCTACTGTATTGTTTTTATTATGGTGCGATCATCTGTCCATTCGTGTACCTCCTTTTTCTTCTTTAATATATATCTTTGTTTCCTATAAAGACATAACCAGTCATTTTGTGCTCGGTTACTTTGTTGGGTGAAAGAAAAAAGAAATTGAAAAAACTTAGTGTGGCTTCCATGGCACCATGCTTTTCTTTGCTTTGTATTTCGATCTCTTTCCTTTTGTTTTCGTGTCGAGTGTTGTTCAAGAAGAACCAGACATGGAAGTCTCCATATTTCATTGATCTGGCTAATATTCCCATGTTGTTCACCACTTCCATGCATGTCTCAATTAAATTAATGTTAATTTGAAATAGTTATTCTTACGGATGGAATATGCTTTTAGTTTAGTTTAGTTTTTGTTGGTTACTGAGAGAGACTTTGCAGAGAACATGGGCTGAACTCTGTTGTTGTTTGGCTCCTCCACCCTCTTCTCCTCCTCTGCCTCTCTCAAACGTCCCTCCTTTAAACCCATCACTCTCCAACCCATTTCCAAGAAAACCCAAACAAAACAAAACATAAGAAAGGAGAAAGACAAACACTGCAGGCATCTTCAAGAAAATGTTCAGCGACACCACAAGCCAGACCTAACCCAATCTTCGCAGAAAGAACAAAAAAGTGAAAGCAAACGAGGGGAAAATGAAAAAATAAAACCCTAGGAACTTTTACAAGCAAATAAACCGGTTTAAAATGCATTTAAAAAACTGGACTGCCATGCAATTCAAAAAACAGAAAACCGGAAAAAATTGCCTCTTTTATATACAATATTTCCATTAGTTTTTGCATATAAATCAATAATAATGAAAATAAATCTTTACACCTACATTAAATATATACTATTTATTTGATATATAATAATTTTATTATTGATTTCTTTAATTATCAATTCAATATCCAATGAAATTCAATAATACATTTAACACCACAAGGAAAATAATGTAAAAGAAAAAAAAATACCCGCGCAACTAGTATATTATTAATCTTTAATCTCTTTAAGTTTTGTATATGTTTCTATAAATTTTGATCAAGATTCATAATGGATTTAATAAATTATATGAAAACTTTGATAAGTTTTAATGAGAAATTAGTGCTTCTTGACTTGGTAACGCTAATCCTTACCCAAAAGCCAAAATCAATTATATTTTATTTTATATTAAGCTTGCAGCAATTATCAAATGCAAAGGCACGTCTGCATAATAAAAAATAGCCACGTGTATAGAACTCATACGTGGCAAAAATTTTGAAAAAGAAATCCATCAAACAATGAAGCTGGACTTCCGTTGCGTCCAGGTTCATTCCTTTAAAAAATTTCTCTCTTAAAGTCTCAGTTGCAAATCGAAAGTTTTTTTTTTTCTCAAGAAACAAACATCTTGAATTCACAGAAAAACAGAAAAGTTTCTGAAAATGAGCCAGAAGAAAGACCAGCCTTATCATGTCTTTCACAAACTTCCTCCCGGTGACAGCCCGTACGTTCGCGCCAAGCATCTCCAGGTACTTACATACATACATCACAGGCATACATGTATGCATGCATTTGTGTTACATCATGTTACTGAGTCAACTCATTCTTCTTCTTCTTCTTCTTCGTTTTCTCCTTTACTTGTTAGGAACTGAGTTTTATATCTGTGGACCGTTGATTTTATGGTGTAAGATTAACGCGGTGATCTGGACCGTTAGATACATTCTTGTGTATCTGAACTCTGAAGTTACCTTCTTTTACTTTTTGACTGGGAGTGAAGAGATATATTTTTTTTTTATCGTGAAATGACTAGAATACCCTTGTGTTGAAGTCGTATTTACCTTTCTAGTCATTAACTGTTGAAGTAGTTAGGTGTTGTGGTTGTCGAGGCAATGGTAGTTCACAGAAAATGGAAAAGGGTGATTGAGTAAATTTAGTGTGACGGTTAGTTTCAGGTGTCTCTCAGTATCTCTGGAAATGTTTGATACAGACAGAGTGAAGGTAGAACTAAAGACTTCATAAATTCTAATTATAATAACATATAAAATTAGAGTATAAGTTTCATGATTAAATTAAACACTCAATATTATCCATATTATTTTAGTTGACTCAAATTTTTAGATGATAGGTATAAATAATAATTTTTATTTTTACATCCAAAAAAATGGATGGGATTACTTGCAATTGCATCCCTACTCTTATTCTTGCATCCAACCTTCAATTATTTAAAAAATTATTTTCTCACTCTACATATTTCCATAAGCTGTGTAAATCTAATGTAAAGAAATTGACCATAACCTCTGTATTTCTTTTTATATACTAGTGTTTCCTATCAGAAAAAAAATATGACTTGCAAATGGAAATACTAATAGAAATCACCATTGTCGTCAATTTTCAATAGTAATTTTTTTTAGTTTTATTAGTATTGTTCTTTTAATTAACTTATATTAAAAAAGTTAACAATTTAGTGTAATTAATTAGAACAAGGAATGGAAAGTAGTTTTAGGGGTGCCATAAAAAAATTTCAGCTTGGTCTAGAAAAAATACTTGATTAATATTGTATGTTAAAAGATTTTTTTACACAAATGTGTTATCTCAAATAATACTTATTTTTACTCCCTGTCTATGCCAATTCAGTTAGTTGAGAAGGACCCAGAAGCTGCTATCGCTTTGTTTTGGAAGGCGATAAATGTAGGAGATAGAGTAGATAGTGCACTTAAAGACATGGCAGTGGTTCTTAAACAGCAAGATAGAGCTGAAGAAGCCATTGAAGCTATAAAGTCTTTCAGGGATCGCTGCTCCAAGCAAGCCCAAGAATCACTAGACAACGTCCTCATTGATTTGTACAAGGTACCCACCACTACACTAAAGTAAATGGCATGCCAAGTTTATCCGGACTTTTTGTCATCACAATTGACATTATTAAATGTATAACAAAACAGTGTCTCTTCTTTTAAATAAGATAGTGTTTAGTTAATAACTTAATGCAATGAATGACTAATGAGTTATGCATGTTTCAACCACTAGATTTTTCTTTAATAACAATATGAATCTTTTATTGGATTTGTTTCAGGAGAAATATACTACAATCTGGTTAGTAAGAAATGCTATCATCCAGATACCTTAATTTCAAAGAGTAGTTTATTAGATCATGAGGTTTAACTTTTGTCATTGTTTTATAATGCTTTGTTTAATTGTTGAGAAACTTGTTAAAGTAGAAATCTATCTAGCTGTTATGATTCGCAAGTGTTCCTGTACTCTCAAACCTATTTGGGAATGAATTTAGGATTTATAGACCCCTTTCACCTCCTTTTTGCTTCAAATGAAAAGGCCTGATCCAATTTGCTATGAACCAAAATTCAATATTTTTTTTCAATCATATGTTAATTTCAGAACATGTATATGGGTAAGACTTTATTGCCTTGGTTTTCTTCTGCTGCTTTATTGTTTAGGTAGTGACCCTATTAAATTTGGCAGAAACGTGGGAGAATCAACGAACAGATAGAACTATTAAAGCAGAAGCTTCGAATGATTTATCAAGGAGAGGCCTTCAATGGAAAGCCTACTAAGACAGCACGTTCTCATGGAAAGAAGTTCCAAGTCACCGTCAAGCAAGAGACCTCCAGGATACTGGTACTAAAGTTATTCTACTCAGCTTTCTGACTACAATATTTTCTACAAGTTAATTTACGTGAGCTTTTCAGAACTGAAAAAATTAAGTTTGGTCCCCCATTGGTGAAATGAGGTGTCATATTTCACTTACCGCAGCATTTTACTAGTAGCACTGACTCATACTGATCTTTTTTTTTTTTTTTTTTAGGGTTTTTTTTTTTTTCCACTGCTTACTATTGACATGTTATGCAAGAGCCTCATACTTCTTCGTAATACTTTGCTCTCTCGCCACCTTTTAAAATTCCCTTTGTTTACTTATTCAACATTCTTTGCTCTCCCCGCCGTTGTTCCCTTTCTGCCACATCTGATGATACAACTTTGTAACTTTCTTTCTGAAGGAGAAATTTTGTGCATACATGAACTCCACTTAGTATTGATCCCTCAGTAGCCCCATGGTTTACATTGTCTTTACAATTACCTGACTTTACAAACATGTAATTCAGGGAAACTTGGGTTGGGCATACATGCAACAAGGAAATTACATGGCGGCAGAAGTCGTATATCGTAAAGCTCAGCTTATTGACCCTGATGCCAACAAAGCCTGCAACTTATGCCATTGCCTGATCAAGCAAACACGATATACTGATGCACAGTCAGTTCTCGAAGATGTATTGCAGGGTAGATTATCAGGGTCTGCTGATCCCAAGTCTACTAACCGTGTCAAGGAGCTCTTGCTAGAGATAGAGCAGTTGCAATCCGGGCCCTCATCTTTAACTACAATAATACCGAACTTAGAAGGTGCATTTTTGGAGGGCCTTGATGATCTGGTGAACCTTCAGACCAAATATAGATCAAGAAGACTTCCCATCTTTGAAGAGATCTCTCCTTTTAGAGATCAATTAGCTTGTTGATTATGTGTTAGCTTACCAACTTATAGTTTAGGCTGTTGAGCCTGAAAAGAAATTATAAGTTAGGACTAGAGTATGTATACAAACAAAAACACTTAAAAAAGTAACTCTGTAAATCTTCCTCATTGTTCTTTGAAATAAAACTGCATCTGTCAATTGGATGTAGCTGTGGCTGAGGCCATGCTATATAAGCGAAATTTCTTGTCCAATAATCACAACTTCATAAATATACCACGTGTGCCAATGTGTCTAAGTCTTGGAAGCATGCTTTGAGAAAGATTTAATTTAATTTTCTAATTTAAAAGAAAAAAAAAAAAAAAAAAAAAGATAGTTATATATGCAAAGGAAATTCAATTCACTGGTATAATAAGTTTAATAACAGTGTACATATTCTTCTGCTAAACCAATCTGGGAGAAGCACAATGAAATATTATCTATGGCTTCTAGGCCTTTTTATTTGTAACTTGATCACTCTGCAAACTTCTTGAAATATAATATTTGTATGTCTCGTTATCTTTCTTCCTATACAGCTAAGTACTTGTTTACATCAGTTCCCACCGAAGCTCTGGAGCTGGTACAATCTTGAATAAACTCCCTGTGAAGCTGCAACAAGAGTTGAGTGTGAACCCATCTCCACAATTTCACCTTTGTCCATCACAACTATTGTATCAGAATTCATCACTGTCGAAAGCCTGTGTGCAACAGTGATCTGAGTGATCCTGGATGGCAATTCTTCACGGCTGCCTTTCTGGTTTAGTGATTCCAGGGCACTCACGATGACTCTTTCAGACTCGCCATCCAGGGCGCTTGTTGCTTCGTCTAGAAGTAATATTGCCGGCTTCTTTAGTAGAGTTCTGGCAATGGCTATCCTTTGCTTTTGGCCTCCGGAAAGTTGGCAGCCTTTCTCGCCTACAACTGTGTCGTAACCATCAGGCAAACTACTTATGAATTCATGAATGTTTGCTTTTTTTGATGCTTCCACAATTTCGGATTCAGAAGCTTTATCATTCCCATAGTAAATGTTGCTTCTGATTGAAGAACTGAAAAGAAGTGGTTCTTGTTGTACCAAGCCTATTTGCGACCTCAACCTTCTCAAATTGTATTCCTTTATGTCCTTTCCATGAATCAGAATTCTTCCTTCCCTGGGATCATAAAATCTCAGCAAAAGGGCTATAACAGATGATTTTCCAGCTCCACTTGGCCCAACTAGAGCTACCTTTAATCCAGGTTCAATTTGTAAACTGAAATTGTTCAGAACTGTCACCTCAGGTCTAAAGGGGTAGTTGAATTTTACATTCTGAAACTCAATTTCACCTTCAATAGGCCGGAAGTCTGAAGTCTCTGGTGTGTCAGGTTCAATTTCAGTTTTCCTATCAAGGATCTCAAACACTGGAGTTAGGACATTTATGGCAGAGATGACAAGAGGGACCAGTGTCCATAATTCTGTGATTGAAGGTACTGTGAGAGAGAAAATCTGATATGCTCTTATGCCATTTTTAAAACTGGCCTGATTCCTTTCAATCAAAATTGTTGTGTACCACAAAGCAACAGCGTGTGCTATATTCCACAAGCAGAGGGAGACGCCTTGAATGAGCCCGTACTTGATACTTTGTTTCCTGCTATTTTTCTTTGGAATTTCTAGAGAAATTTTGGCTTTCCTGAGTATATTTTCTTCGTGGCAAAAAGATGCAATGGTTCTTATGTTGGCTGCAGACTCAGAAGTAAGGGCAACAAATTCAGAATGTGCAGCAGCAGCATTACCTGAAAATCCTTTAGCAGAAATGGCTTGAATATATCCCCCTATGAAATGGCAAGGCATCACTGCCCAAGCTACCAGTGCCATTCTCCAATTAACAACTGCACTTACTATTGTCGCAATTAATATGGAAGAGATGCATTGGACAATAACAGACATACGATCAGAGATAATGGTCTTGACCATGGCGGTGTCAGTTATAATCCTTGAGGTAAGTGAACCAGCATTGTTCTCAGGTTTTTCAAACCAAGCTAGCTCATTCCGCAGTACACCTACAGCATCATTATGAAGTGAAAGTTATAGTGTGCTTTTGTAGTTTGAACCTTTGAGAAAAGCTCATAAACATGACTAATTATTATCTGTTTAAATCTAATGACGCATGTACACCCAAAAACCGTTAATTTTCGATCACTTCCCCTTACAGGTAAACCTTCATATTTCAGGAAACAACAGGAACATTTCTAGAAGACAAATGAAACTTCAGTGGAGGTTCATGATGATTTTCAAAATTTGGAGGAAAGTTTAGTCTACTAGAATGACACAAGAGAGGGAAATGAAATTTTTCCTGAAAAAAAAAAACGATCATGCAGATAATGCGCATAGATGAAAGCAGTAGAAACCTGTATATAGAGCTCTTTTGAGGTTTATCATGGCCTTCTCTCCTACCACTCCAAAGAAGTAGTGCTGCAAGATGTGAGTGAACAATGAAAACAGTCCAACCAAAGAGAAGAACAATGAAAACCGTCCAACTTTTTGCTTGGCATCTTTCTCATAATATGCCACTCCTATTGTCATGATGAAGAACCCAAATAAAGGCTTTGAGATTCCAGAGAAACCTGCTGCGACAGAACCAATGACAGTTCTCAGAATTTCTCCCTCTTTCAAGCCAAACCAAATTCTGAAGAATATAGTCCTTCTATTCATTGTCCCTTCTTGTTGTTTGGTAGATTCACTAAGCTCCCTGTTGGCCTCTCCAAATTTCTCTTGTTGCTCAATATTTAAAAGTTGTTCATGAGTACTTTCAGGCTCTTCAGTGGAATCTTTAACTCTGCTATGCATTCAACAAAAGCAAGATATAAATTGCTATGTGCTCATCATGATTATATATGAGAGCAAGATGAATTCTTTGTCTACCAACCTTGAATCGCTAACTTGGTCAAGGTTCTGCATGTGAAATAATCTGCTGTAGAATTTGCTGGTGTCTAGCAAGCTGTGGTGAGTGCCTGTTTCAGCGACTTGTCCATTTTCCACTATGGAAATTATATCTGCATTAATGATAGTTGACATCCTGTGCGCGATCAAGATGACTGTCCTCCCTTTCATAGCATTCTCAAGGGCCTCTTGAACCAGCTTCTCCGACTCTGAATCAAGTGCACTTGTGGCCTCATCAAGTAAAAGGATTGGTGGATTCTTTAGAATGGCTCTTGCTATAGCAATTCTCTGCTTTTGTCCCCCTGATAACTGGACTCCCCTTTGTCCCAACTGGAAATTTATCATGGAGGCAAAAACTTACTACGTATAATGCACAAGAAAATTAGGCTGGGATTATCATATTGTAAGACAATATGTGGTTTGTGTTTTCTCCTGTGATTTAAGTCCTAATAAAGGTAACTGATATGCAATCTGCAATTCGAACTTACACTTTGTTTCCTTCCTCTTTTCTGTTGAAACTTTATGTATGTCGGTTTTATACAATGCATATTGATGCCGCTATAACAACTTTTTATCAGAGAAAGGTGCTAGAATTGGAGACTTATCAATATACATATTGAATTGGTGTTTAGGTTTTGTTCATGTACTGAATATATCAAAAACTGACCACACATTTGTTTCAACTACCTATGATTCAATTAGTGAATTTGTGTATCATTTGCCAAAAATATTGATGAGGCAAGTAAATAGAGGAAACGAAATACCTCAGTTAAGTACTGATCTGGAAGGTCTGATATGAAAGTGTGTGCGTTTGCCAGCACTGCTGCTTTTTGGATATCCTCATCAGTGGCATGCATGTTCCCAACTCTAATGTTATCCTTGAGGGTGCCAGCAAAGAGTGATGGTTCTTGGGAAACTGCTCCTATGTTTTCTCTCAGGAACTTCAGATCAAGATCCTTGATGTTATTGTTGTCAATCAAAATCTCTCCTGGAGGATATTTATTACATTAGACTTAGAAAACCTCCAATTCAATATGTTTAACTTGATGCTTGAAAATTAAGATGTTGCATGTATACCTCGAGTGGGATCATAGAATCTTGCAACTAAGGAAATGACAGTGCTCTTTCCACACCCACTACTACCCACTAAGGCCACCATCTTTCCTGCTGGAATTGACAATGAAAATCCATCAAGGATCAATTGGTCTGGCCGCGATGGATACGCGAATGTTACATCTCTTATGTCAATGTAGCCATTAACCTTCTCAAGTGTCCTTCCCTTTGAATCATAACATATAATCGGCTTTCTTTCGATCACCTGGAAGATCTCAAACCCTGCGGCTTTCGCCTGATTGAAGATTTGTATGTCTGGTGCTGCATAAGTCAGTGCTCTGCAATTCAAAAGAACCCAGATTCAATAATTAGATGCTTGTTTATGTTGTGTCATTATATTTATATTTATTGGAGACGTTTCTTACACAGCTCCAAAGAGAATGCTCATCACAGCGGCTAAAACATCTCCTCCCGTTGCCCTTCCTGCAAGGACAACAACAGCACCAATCCAGATAACGAGAGCCCAACAACAGAAAGTGACAGACTGAATCATCCCAACTCCAACTCCTTTTATAAGTGCCTCTCCTTTGCTTATAAAAATCTGCCTGTCCATGCCCTCTGAGAATGATTTGATTGCACTATTCTCCCCAACAAATGCAAACACTGTTTTGATTTGAGAAATAACCTGTAACATATATTCAAACCATTAATACTTAAAACACAACTTCTATGCACGGCGAACATAATACTTTGATTGTAACACCTCAGCTCACTGATAAGATATTATCATTGGATTTGTCTCTTACTCACCTCAAATAGTTGGTTCAAAGGTATCGATTGAATTTGAATCAAGAGGAACACACTCTTAGCCCACCATTTGAGATGAGTAACAGACAAATCCAAGAACAAATCATTGACAGTGGGCTAGAGTATTAGTATGATAATTAATTACCTGTTCTACCATGGATGCAGCTTCTGAAAGGTATTGCATTTTGGTAGATGAAATAGTGTTCATTTTATTGGTGTAAGTGGCTCCAATCACAAGAATCATTGGAACAACTAAAAAGTTAAGTAGTGATAGTTCCCAACAGCATATTGCAGCAATCAAGATTCCAGAAAAGAAAGTTGCAAGGCTTGAGAGAAGATGGCCCAACTGTAAGGAAGAAAGATAAATACATATATGATTATGTTAAGCTAAATGAGGTTGGAAAATAATTAAACTGGTTAATCATATATATACCTTCTCTCCTATGGCATCTTGTATAACACTCATGTGGTTACTGACTCCAGTAATAATCTTGCCACTAGTTAAATCTGTATCAAAAGCTCCGATCTCTTGATTAAGGACTGCTTTCAAGTAGGCTAATCTCATTCTTGTTAATTGCCTTTCACTTGCATACATCCAGCATCCGATTTCTGTTGTGAATAACAATACACATGTAAATGCCATCCATGCATCCTAAAATATCTTAATATATAAAAGTCAAATCCTGGCCTCAACCAAGTAAAATTTGTCAGTTCAAGCATCTTTTACCCAAAACACCTTCACTTAGTGAAGAAGATCAAAAACTTATAAACTGAATCAAAGCTCATTCGCTAGACAATATATTTAACGTAGTAATATACTCATATATAAAAGGCATTTGTTACGTACCAACTATTCCAGCAGGAAATGTGGCGAATGCCATGTACCAAACAAATGGAATAACCTGGACAAATCAACAAATTGATCAAAATCCATAATTATATCAGTAAAAAACAGGGAAAGCTAGCTGTAAGTACCTTTTTGAGGGCTTTAACTGTCTCGACTTTATCACCTAAGTTGTTTCCAAAAGCATCAAGCGCTTTGCCAAGAAGCAAGTAGCCAATGGGTAGAGCCATGCCATGCACAACTGAACCAAAAGTCCCAAGCACCATGAGCAACCAATCCACCCCATCTGCATAACTCAAAAGCTTTCGAAATGGCAAAGCTTTGACAACAATCTTCTTCTTGATAGCATCCTCATCCTTATCCATTACATCAACGCTACTCTTTCTCGGTTCCTCGTCTTGCATGATGAAATCATGGGGTTGAGTAGGCGTAGCCCTTTGCATAATGTTCACACACACAGACACACGTACTACTGATACTGATAATAGAGTTGAGTTAAAAATAAACATGCAAAGATCCTCTTATCCTTGTTAAGAACGTTTAATATACAATTATTTTACATTAACAATGCCCATCAAATGAATATTTGTTGGATATACTCAGTATATGATGATATAAATTCTTCCCTTCTCCTTGGCTTCATCTCACTGTTTCTTTTTCAGGGTCTATCTTAAAATGCTGGCGTATATAAAACACGCAGAAGATACACAAATGATTAGCGTTTTGCATTATTTTATTTGGTTAAATACTGAGGAAGATTAGTTCAACATGTTTTGGACATTATTCTCAACTTTGTTGCAATAAGCCAATATCAGTCGCTTTGACAAGAGTTTGTGAGAAACTTGCTGCCATTTTTCTCAACATTTTCAAGTTTCAACATCTGCAGTAGACATTGAATCTTAATCAGAAAAAATAGTGAAAACTTAGATAAAAACTGGAGGGTATCATTTCATATGTGTTTTATTATATTGCTATTTTTTTATTTGTAGCTTAGAGATGATTAATGCTATCGATTTCTTATAGAAAATTAGAATCATATTTTAGCAATATGTGGCAGGCTTCTGATATCTAATCCGTGTGTAGTCTAGATGAGTAGCGTGAGTTAGGGATAGTATAAATAAGCATACAATCTCAGATTCAATCTCTATCTGTGCATCCGTAATTTAAATGGAGAGCCATGATACTGGGTTGCAAGATCTAATTGTGACAATAAATTTGAAATATATAATTTTATGTTAGATATCCCATACTATTATTTAGTAATTAATGAAATTATTGATTAACTTGGCTTTAATTGGAGCGTTCCTAAGGCAGAAGGGTGTATTAATAATATATTTTATGAGCTATATATGATGATAATAATACTAATAATGAGGGAAATTACCCCAAATATATAAAAGTGTCTGAGATTGAATGAAATATTATTTTGTGTCGAATGTCTACAATGCCCAAAGAATCAAATTAAAAAAAGAGTCGAAGAGGAATATTTGTTTCTCTATTCTCAAAATTCAATTCAATTCTATTCAAAAAAAATTTAAACCCCTAGGTTTATTAATTTAATTAAACACCATCAACAAAAAAGTTTATAAATTGACAACAACATCCCCACTCACGCACATTTGCCAAATTCCAACCATCATCACCAAAAGGTAACATGAATTTGCCGTAATGACACACTACCGGCTCAATGGCCAGATCTGGCTTTTTTTGGCCAGATCCATGGTAGATCTAGCCAAAAAATGTCATATCGACGCACAACCAATCAGATCTAGTCGATCGTGAGCCATTACGGCTATTCCGGCCACCTTCTGGTGGTGGTGGCCGGAATCTGACAAATGTGGGTGAGTGGAGGTATTTTTGTTAATTTATAAATTTTTTATTGTAGGGAGTGTTTAGTTAAATTAACAAACCTATGGAGTGTTTTTGTTAATTTTTAAATCCTACCTCATAATAACAACCTAATTCAACGTTTTTAAAAATACTATTCAAAATAAAACAAACACAGCTGATGTTGTTTTCTTTTACCCTAGAGACGCGGAGACTTGGAAAATTCATGTAATTCTTTTATCCCTAGAGACGCGGAGACTTAGAAAATTCATGTAATAAAACAACTACTTCACTCTTTATTTGAATATTGCACTTAGATTTTTTCAAAGGCCAGGTTCTATTTGATATAACTTAAAATAGCAGTGCTAGTCTTACAAAGAAGTCTACAAAGGAGGCATACAAAGTTAACTTACACCCTTCATCTTCATCATTTCTCTCTCTCTCTCTTTCTCTTTTTCTGTTTTTCCTTTGTTTTTTTTTTTTTTTTCACTTTGTAAGCTTTTTTGTAGAGTTCTTTGTAAGGATAGACTTATTCAACCTAAAATTACTACAAAGACGGCAACACGTTGAATGATCTATATACTATATACAGCTGGAGAGCGAAGAACATGAGTACCCTATTGGCTATGTTTGGTGATATGTATTGGACTTAGGGACGGCAAAAGCCCCCGTATAATTCGAACAAGGACTTGAATGGAAAAAGTCAGAGACGGGATGATTTTTCATCTCTGCATTAATTTTGGATCAAGGACAGGGATTGGTTCTAATCTCCCGCACTGCCCAAATTCCTCGCAACTCGCAAGTTTTAAAAATTAAATAAATAATATATTTCTAAAGCAGAATAAATAATGTCGGGAAAACATATTTTATGTAGTCTGAATAAATATTTTGGATGCATTTGGTCAGGAAATATTGTATTATTAGAAATATTATAGTAATAATAGTGGTAAAACAAATTAATTTTATTACTATGAGAAAGTTATAGATTAGTAGAAATGTAGTTACAAAAATTATTGTTTTAACTTAGTTATTTTATAATTTTTGTTTTAATAGTATATATTAGGATTTCAATTCATTGTTTTAGTAGTCAATTCTGTAATTAGATAAGAAGATAAAGAAAATAATCTCGAAGGTAATAATACGGAAATACAAAAAGTTTCATGCCAAAAAACTCTAAACATGTTTGAAAACTTAGAAATATTTTGGCTTCAACAAAAAGTTGTTCATACAATGAGTTATTACGTACCCGTAAGTTAAAAGATAAATACAGTAAAACCTCTCTATAATTATAATGGTGGGACTAATTAATTTTATTACTATGAGAAGGTTATAACTTAATAGAGGTATAGTTACAAAAATTTCTTATTTCATAATTCATGTTTTAGTAGTACAATATTAGGATTTCAATTCATGTTTTAATAGTATTAGGGTTTCAATTTAGCGTTTCAATTGCCTACTATTGAAATAGATAGAAGATCGTGTCTTGGAACCAATAAATGTAACTATCTTTGATGGAATTGTAAATGCAGTTACTGTATGGTCAATTGATGTGAAGCCACAGACAATTGTCAATTGTTTTAAGCATTACAAAATTAAGACCCCCGATGTTGATGAATAGTAAGTTACAATTGAAGTAGATGGGGGGAATCAAAGAGTCATTGTAGAATTGAGTGATCAGATTTAACAACTTTACTATATTAATCAAATGGATATTAATGTTTTTCTTAATCATCCAAATGAGCAACAAGTCATGTATGCTTTAACAGAAGAAAAAATCATTGCTAGAATTAGACAATAAGAGAAAGGAAATAATTATGAGGATGATAGTGCGGAAATACAAAAAGTTTCGTACCAAGAAGCTCTAAACATGTTTGAGAAGCTAGAAATATTTTGGCTTCAATAAGAAGCAATGAAGAGGGTTGAACCTGGACCGCCAATAAGGCAGGCCATGTTCAACCCAACCCGGCAGCAACCCCCGGGCGAGCCGGGTTGCAAAATGGCAACCCACCGACCCGTGGGTTGTTGTTTTGTCCTTTCTAAAGAAAGAAACGCCAACCCGCGGGTTGGCTATTACACCAACCTGCCAGGTTGGTTGTTACACGCTAACAGCCAACCAGTCGGGTTGACCCGTGGGTTGGCCAAAAAAAATTAAAAAAAATTGAACTTTTATTTTATTTTTTTCAAATTACCCCTTTACCCTTAAATATAGGCGTTTTATAGCCGTTGAAGGGGTCTTTTTGGTCATTTTCTTTTCCCATTTTTTTCTATAAATTGGCCCTAAACTCTCACATTTTTCTCACAACTCAAATTCTCTCATTCTCTCATATTCTCTAATCTCTAATCTCTCAATTATTCATTTATTCTCTTAATCTCTTTGTTATCAATTTGCTCGTATTTTAATTTTTATTAGTTTTTGCAATTTTTAATTCATATTTCCAATTTTCCAAATTCCAATTTCCATATTCCAATTCTCTTTCTTTAATTTTTATTTCTTCTACATCAATTTTTTTTTTCAACTACAATGGATAGATATTTCTCTCCCATCAATTACAATGATGAAGGAAACTACTATCCTAGTCCTAGTCCCGCTGATTTTACTAACATAAATGCAGGAGGAGATTCAAATAGTCCCGCTTTCCCATTCTCAGAATCCGATACACCTCAAAATATGCCCCCGATTCCAACAGCTCCCGGTGGTTCTAGAAGTCGTCCTCGTAATCGTCGTGCTCGTCCAACTTCATCTCAAGCTGAGGCGGGATCATCAACTGCCGTCGAAAGCGAAGACAGACACACATCAGACGTTTGGGCGCATTTCGACAAGTTTTACGAGACAGAAAATGGCGTTCAAGTCAAGAAAGCAAGATGCAAATATTGTGCAAATGTTTATAAAGCTGATTCAGGTAATGGTACTAGTACTTTAAAAAGGCATGCTAATAAACATATTAATCAACATGGAAATAGAGAAAGCAATCAAACTCAAATAACTAATATGGGTACTACTTGGCGTTATAATTCTGATGTATATAGGGAACAGTTAGCTTTATATATTGCTGCAACTGATCAACCTATTAATATGGCTGAAGATAAATATTTTGAAAGATTTGTTCAAAATTCATTTTTTCCAGGATTTAAAAGTTATTCTAAAACTGCAACTAGAAATGATTTAATAAAATTGTTTAAAAAAATGAAATTAGAATTAAAAAATAAATTTCATACTTGTCATATTAGTGTGGCTTTAACTGCTGATATTTGGAGTGGTAGAGCTAAACAAGATTATATTTGTGTGACTAGTCATTATTTTGATAATGAATTTAAATTAAATAAATCTTTATTAGGATTTAGATTAATGGATGTGGATCATAGTGGTTTAGAAATCTATAATAAAATTATTGAAGTTTTAGAAGATTATGATATTATTGATAAAGTGATAAGTTTAACTTTAGATAATGCAAGTTCTAATAGTAAAGCTATAGAATTTTTTCAAAATAATTATCTTTTATATAATAATTTGAAGTTTTTTCACCAACGTTGTGCATGTCACATTATTAATTTAATTGTGAAAAGTGGTATGAAAACAATTAAAGAAAAATATTGATAGAATTGGGGCTTCTTTAGCTTGGATTACTAGTAGTAATAAAAGAAATGCTGAATTTCAAGACGCTTGTATAAAATCAAATATGTCTCCTGGAACTTTTGCATTAGACATGTCTGTTAGATGGAATAGTACTTATTTAATGCTTGATTCATGTTTACCTTATGCTAATATAATTAGTTATTTTGTAGCAAATAATAAAGGTCATCATTATTTGGTAGAAAATGATTGGCAAATAGCTAAAGTATTTCATTTTTTTCTTAAAATTTTTTATCAATCCACTTTACAATTTTCTGGTGTGTATTATCCTACTAGTCCATTGGTAATACATACAATTATAAAAAATTTCGAATTATTTATAAAAAACAAAGACAATGAAATTTTAAAGGCACCAATAAAGGCAATGGAAATTTTTTTTTTTAAATATTGGGAACCCATTCATTTTCTTTATTGTTTAGGTGCTATATTTGATCCTAGAATTAAATTAGCAGGTTTAGAAAATGGTTTTGACAATTTATGTGAAAATTTACAAACCGAAGTATATGCCAATCAAATAGGAGAGGTAAAAAATAGACTTTTCGAAGTATATTTCCAATATGAAAACAGGTATGGGAACCCGCAAAGAGGCGAAATATCCGGGGAAGCTACATAAGAAGAAACAAATGAAAACTTCTACTCTTGGGGTGCATTGAATAGGCCAAAGAGGACCCGAATCCGAAGCACAGCCTCCTCTTTAGAAGCTCCACCAACAACAACAACAACAACTAATGTACTGTCTTCCATGCAGTCGCAGAGTAATGAGCTTCAACAATATTTGGCAACCCCTGAAATGTTACCAATAGATCCACAACAGAGAGTCAACATTGATCTCTTAGACTATTGGAGAGCCAGAAAATGTATTTTTTTGGTATTATCAAGACTTGCCTTAGATGTTTTCGCTGTTCCTGTCTCAACCGTCTCATCCGAACAAACATTTAGTGCAAGTGGAAGAAAGAATTTTAAATGAAAGAAGGACTAAACTTTCTCCAAAAATGATTGAAGTCCTCACATGTCTTCGAGATTGGGAACGGTCGCGCCATCAAGATTAATACGAGGTTGTCGACGATACTTTAATAGAATCATTTCAATTTTGTAATATAGATGATACGGATGAGGGACGTCCTAGTGAATCACCCCCAAATTAGTTGTTTTGTAAAATGTAATTTGTAAATTAATTGTCAATTATTGCACTCTTTTTTCTTTACCAAGTTTTTCTCCCATTAGGTTTTTCTTGGTGAGGTTTTTAACAAGACAATAATTGTTGTAATTTCTTATTTTATTTTTTGATAAATGAATAAGTCTAATTTTTCTTATATTACAATTTTATTGTATTAAAATTGAATTAATATTTGAAATGTTAATAAAAAAAAATTAATTTAATTGAATTATTGATATTTGAAAAGTTAACTAAAAACAATTACATTTATAATTGTTAATTATTAATTTGAAATGTTAAACAAATAAAACAAAAGAAAATAAAAAATAAAAAAAATAGGGCTAACCCGGGCCGGCCCGCCAACCCTAACCCGCCTGGCCAGCCATTTTCTCCAAAATGGCAGGCCTAACTCAGCCTGCCTTTGTTGGCGGGTGGGTTAAGACCGACCCGCTAAATTTTGTAACCCGCCGCGGGCTGAGCCGGGTGGGTTACTTTTCCACCTCTATTCATGCTAGCGAGTAATGTACTCGCAAATTAAAAGATATAATAACAACTCTAAAGCATAACTTATTGTTCCAAACAACTTTAGATAAATATTTTATTTCATCTTAAACATTTAATGTAATATAGCATATATTTTTTTACAATATACATATAATTATTACTATGTGGAAGCAACTTTCTTTAAGACGAGAATTAGAAAAATTATAACTTATTACAATGTGAAGTTCATATATATGTATGTATGTATTTTTTTTTTTTTTTTTTTTTGTAACTGTGGTGTTTGGGCCAGTTTGCACGCATCTCAACTAATTTCCTGAATCCATTGAACAAGTTAAAAGATATTATAACAACTCTAAAACATAAATTATTGTTTCAAACAACTTTAGATAAATAATTTATTTAATCTTAAACATTTAATGTAATATAACATATATTTTTTTGCAATATACAGATAATTATTACTATGTGGAGGCAACTTTCTTTAAGACGGGAATTAGAAAAATTATAACATATTAAAATGTAAAGTTTATTCTTATTTATAACTATCCAAAGTTAGGACTAGAATTTTTTATGACTATATAGAAGTTATTCCTATATAGAGTATGACTATAGAGAGGTTTTATTATATATTAATGGGAAGATAGATTAATTACCTTGAAAATTACTATGAATGTTATATTAGATGTGTTTAGTTGGATTGGAATAAATTGATAAGTATGTTATGTTGATATGTTTGATTGATGGGAATAAATTAGTAGGTATGTTATATAGATTACTAAACTGTCCTTCTTTTTTAATATTCTTATTATATTATATTATTGTTATTATTATTATTTGAACTATTTTTTTAACGCTCTATATTTAAGATTTTGCTAAAATACCCCAACCACAATAAAAGTTTAAATTTTAATAATATCACCCCCACTCACCCAAGCCACTGTCAGCCGCCGACCACCACCGCCATCGACAATCACCAAAACGATGCACGATCGATCGAATCTAGCCGTGGATTTAGTCGAAAATGGTTGGATCTATTATAGTCGTGGATTTGACTGGATCCATGGTCGTTAACGGCCAAATCTATTCCAGCATTAATGGCCATGGATCTGGCTATTTCCAGCCAGATCTACAACCATCTGGCCATTTCCAATCACTAATCTAACCAAAAACGGCTAAATTGGCACACGATCGGTCAGATCTGACCGATCGTGCGGTGTTTCGACCACTGCCAATGGCGATTAACAGTGGTGGCCAATGGCGATTAACAGTGGTGGCCAATGATTAGTGATGGTGGCCAAATCTAGCTATGGTCTTGGGTAATTTGGTTGAAATACAAGGGCAATAATGTCTTAAAAGTCTTGTTTATAAGGTTAAAATTGTCCATGAAAATTCTTGTAAATTGTTTAGATAACAAGAGCATTACTATTCTAAAAATTTATTAATAAGGGATAAAATTATAACAAAAATAAGATATCTCATAATACCTAAAAAAATGATGATAATCAGATTACCACCTATATAACCAACAATAATTACTATTAGTATTGGAGGATTGTCGGAATCATATATTACTTGACAACCAAACATGGTAACGTAACTAATATAAGATGACATTACTAGAGTAATGTCAAATGCCCCCGACCAAACGCACCCTTTATGTTAAATATAATAACTAAGATAAAATCATATTAAGTTTTAAGCATACACCTTATTAGATGTGAGGAGTTTTGAAAAGTAAATATAATAAGATACTTCCTTAAAACTTAATATGATTATATCTTAATTATTATATTTAACATCCAAAATATTAATTCCTCAACTATAATATGTAGATTATATAAAATATATTTTCCATAAATGATATTAAGAGTGAAATTTATATTTTGTTTTTACAAAAAAAAAAAAAAAAATCATTTAAAGCTTGTAGGGATTTTGGGCCAAGCTGGGGTTAGCACGAAATCAATGCGGGGCAAAAAAATCGTCCTCGACTCATCCCTGATTTTTTGCCATCCCTATCTATAATCAAGCTGAACAAAGTTTAAATTACAAATTATATTGCGCATAAGAGTAATGTAGTCCAATACTGCAAAGTAACCGTCGTAAGGCCATATTGTATCAACAAGTTTAAACAAGCACTATTTTTCCGTTTTTGGCAAGTTCTGTTTACACTATCAAATCAAAAGAGTAGGCCTAACTCAACCATTGTTTTAAAACCCGGATCGAACCGATCAGTCAAACCAGTCCAACTGGGACCCGAAAGCCTCTCTAGTCAGATTCAAGTTTTACATTTCAAATTTATAGGGATTAATTTATAATTTTATAGGGGTATTTTTTTAATATATCAAAACTTTAGGGATTAATTGGTAAGTTTTTGGACTTTTTAAAATAAATAAAAAATTGAGGGATTTAAAATTTTTAGGGGTATTTTATAATATACTAAGATTTAAGGGACTACTTTAATTCTTTTAAAATATATTTGTTACTAACATGACCGGTCCAATTGGTTGGATTGGTTGACCCGTGACCCGGTCACCTTACCGGGTCTTACAACGAGTCGGGTTTTAAAACAATGAATTCAGCTACAATCTCAAGCTTGATGAATGAAAGACTCCAACCTTCTTATCATTATCACTGTTTTAAAACCCGGACCGAAGGGCAACCCGTTCTGCTACCTGGGTCACGGGTCAACTGGTCCAACCGGTTGGACCGCCGTTGGACTGGTGATGTCATCACGTCAGCATGATGATGTCAGCACATAAAAAAGAACATGTTTTTTATTTTATTTTAAGATTTCCATTTTTTAATAAGACAATAACAACTTAATTTTTGCCTAACATGATTCAAAGTTCAAATTCCATAACAATCCCAACATAGTTTAAGTATTTAACAACAATCCAAAGTCTAAATCCAAACATGATGTTGTGTTCATCCATTACATATTAAATGACAATACATAATAATTAATAACAAAACATTTGGTATAAGTGTTTATTCTTTGATCCATCTCCATATTGATTGAGCTTCACACACTAGCATCAAAATTCATCATCATCATCATCATCACCATCACCATCATCTACATAAATTTTAGTAAAAAATAGAAATCATAAGTTAAAACTTATAATTTAATTTAAAATAGATACTAAGTTGCTTAAATATTTGAAACCAACCTTCTGAACCATCGGTTGAATCATAAAAAGAATGGCGATCGGTAACTCCAGCAGGAATAGATCCTTCTTCATATAACATTTGTTCCAACTCCTCATAATTAAGTTCACTGACCTCTTCTTCATCGTCAACTATCCAACCTTCAGTTTTGTCGATACTTTCATAATCAATAGGATCGAAACTTATTTTCTTGTAACACCTCCTAAAATACCATAATGAAATATTAAAAGCATGACAAGTAAAATATCAACTTCTTAATGATTCGTGTATAAGGCTTGTACAATCTCTTTTTATTCTTAAACAACTTCTTAATTGCATTTTTCGCTTTGTACATGTCATCATACACATATCCTATTGCAGGCTTCTCATCTGAGTCAACAATCCGCAACAAGCACATCAATGGACTCACAACTTTGGATATCTTACCCATATCATCCCAAAAATCATTATCTAGAATTATGTCAATAACATGTTTGCCTTTATTACTTTTTGCATATCGAGAATCGACAAATGACTTATCTGTCACCATGGCTTGCAAGTCATGTTTGTGCTCATGAAGGCTTCTCATTGCAATGAAAGTTGTAGTAAAATGGGTTGCGCCCGGACGAACAATTTCTTTCCAACCCTGTTCAAATGATAAATAATAGATGTTAGTCAATTATAAAAAATGCATATTATGTTATAACTTGACAAGAACATGAGCTAAAGGTAAATTACCTGTCTTTTCCTCAACCAAGCTATCAAAAATATATGATTATATAAAAACTTCGTCACCTCAGAAGCACGTCTCGCAAGATAAACTATGTGATTCATCTCAGCTATGTCTTTTAACACCAAATTTATGCTATGTGCTGCACAAGGTGACCAAGTAATACTCGGATATTTCTCAGAGAACATTCTTCCGACAGCTTTATAATTGGATCCATTGTTTGAGACAAAATGGACAATACTATTTGCTCCAATCCATAAAGCTACCTCCTCAAACATCTTCAACAATGTCCCAGCATCCTTCACAACATCTAAAGCATCAACTGATTTCACAAAACAAACTCCCTTAGGACAATACACCATAAAATTGATCAATAACCTATGTAAATTATCAGTCCAAGCATCAGCCATTAAGGTACATCCAACATTTTCCCAAATTTTTCTGTAACTATCAACAAGAAGCTGCACTTCCTTCTTAACATCTCTTAACAAATTGACACGCAAACCATGATAATTTTGGTGTTTATACCCAGGCCTAATTGCAGCTATAGCATCCACCAAAGGCTAAAGATAAATTAAATTTACAACATTAATTGGGATGCAAGCATCGTAAAAGAATCTTACAAAAGTCATGTCTGTTCTCCACGTCACATCTTTTCCAGCTAAACAACTCCTAATTGATGGTTGAGATTCACCAATTGTCCTTGGAGCAAAATAGTCACCAACCCCAATAGATTTTTTTCTTTTTGATCTGTCTAGCATTGTACTTTGTTTTTTACTGCCAAACTACTTTCATTTATGTGAATTTCTAATTGACGAAACTCTTCACTATCTTCATTTAACATATCTCCCTCAAATCCATGTACAGGAGTACCATAGGGAGTATTATGCTTACTAGAATCAGCCTTCTCTTTATTCCTTATCCCAATGTCTTTTAGTGATTCTCTCATCAAGTATTGAACATCAAAAGGAACTTTTAAACAAGCACCAACATGCCCCTTTGTTCCAGCTAGATGTTGTTTCATTCTAAAAATACCTCTTCCTCTAATTACTTCCCACAGTGAAGACATTTTAATGTCTTCCTTCCATTTGGATATACACCTTCAATAACATGTGCCCATATTATATCAGTCCTACCTCTACTAGATTGTGAAGAAGACCCAGAGCCAGAATGTTGACATTGTCTATTTTTAATCTTTATTTACCTGTCACACAAGAAATAACAACAATTTAGTATGCCTTTCTTAAGCCTGTTAATATATATCTAATATTATTACACTTGGTAACTTGTAGGTGAGAGATGAACTTGAACATTTGCTGGATGATGACAATGACATGGCTGATTTCAAAGCTATGATACAATGAGAAAAACAGAGAAAACAGAACAATTTACTGAAGACAATTCTGAAAAGTGTGGCTGAGTTTGTTTATAGCTGAAGTTCAGTTTTTACTTTTTATACAATTTGTTCTGTGATTTAAGGAATGTAAGAACTGAATTGTCACTGACTAATCCAAATATATTGAGAAATAAAAATGCATAAAACAAATCCAAACAGTAAAGTAACAAGATGAATGTGCAATCAGGAGGCGCTCCGTACAACCAAATTTCAAGACATCTTGAGGAAAATGGAGTCGCAGATGTGGCGCTGGTACTTGAACACATAAGATATATGTCGTCCAATGAAATCATACACGAACTCTGTAACTTTTGATGGAATGCCAGATACAACACTGCCTCTTACTATTTCTACAGCCATTGCATATTTCTTTTTAGATATTCATTTTTTTGTTTTTTTTACAAAGTAGAGCCAACTGACAAACGATGGTTAAAAGGATAAGTAAAAATAAAAACATTGATGACAAACTAGACAGTATGTTCTGAAAAACTTAACAATTCATCAAATCATTGCTAGAAATATGAAAAACAGTATCAAACAATATTTTTAAAAGTTGATAATAATGCTGGAATTTTTAGAATGAAACTGCAATGTTGAAAACAGTAAAACAGGCAAGAAAAATAAACTAGAACGAAACTGCAATGTTGAATTTATCAACGAAAAATGATCAAGTGCACCTTGATCAGTATATCTCACAGAGCTAGATGTTCAAAGACCCAGAGAGTTTGCTCTTCTTGTTTGTGAGGATGAACCAACAAAGATCGAAAAGATTCAACGCACAAGTCTACTTTACTTTAATATATTATGATAAATGCATTAATAAAACAAGTTGAAACCTGCATATGAAAAACGAAATCATTATTGAACCCGTGAATGGTGTGTTTTTTACCTGGATCGTTGACGAGAGGAGGAATGGAGCTGTCATCGTCTAGTCATCGTCGTCGTCATCGTCGTTGATTTCCGACGAGGGAGGAAGGCATCGTCGTCGATTTCAGAGAGTTGAGTTGCGATCGATTTCAGCAAGGAATGATTGCGATTTCAGACTTCGGAGAGTGGAGTTCATTGAGATTGAGTGGCGTTTGTGTGGGATTTCAGATTTTTAGCATGGTTTTAAAAAAAAAAATTCAGAGGATTTTGCGTAGAGAAAGGAGAAATTGAGAAATAAAAGAAAGTGAGAAATTAGGGATTTTTTCCCCTTTTCAAACGTTGGACCGGTGGTTCACACTGTTCGTGTGGTTCATTGGCGGTTCATAGCAGTTCATTGAGTAATACCGGGTTTTATATTGACTCGAACCAGACATGTGATCGGGTCCCAGTCTAACCGGTTGGACCGACTGGTCTAGTCTGGTTTTTAAAACCATGATCATTATCATTGTTTTAAAACTCGACCCGGCGTGGCCTATTTAACCAGCTTAACCGAGACTCGGAAGCTTCACAGGGTCGAGTTTACATTATCCCTATTCACTCAAAACCCTAGAATTTGGGATGATAATCAACGAACAATTGAAGGCCGAGATGTTGGGGCTCTTGAAGAGAAATTGTCGATGAGTGTAATGGTGGCGATGGATTTGATTTTCGATAAGTAAATCGATCGAAAATCAAAAAACACAAGCGATAGCAACAACTGGCTTTTGCTGACGATTGGCGAGGCTAACAAGGGTGGGGTGAGGTGGGTTTTGGTTGGGAGGAAGAGGGAAGTATTTTCAGGGTGTGAGGAGGATTGTCAACGCCAATGTCAATGAGATCTGGCCTAGAATGTCGATGCCAACGTCGGTGAGATTTGGCCGAAATCAAACCGATATCGGTCAGATCTTTGGTAGATTTTCAAGGGAATTGGCTCAATGGACAATTGAGGTTGCATTTGGGGTGTCGTTGCCGCCAACTGATCGCTGATCGATTTGTATTTGAGGTGTGTTTGCTAAATTTCAAACCTATAAGGATGTAATAAGGGTGTATTTGCTAAATTTTAAAATTTTTTGTTAACCGATTTGACCAATGGTCTAACCAGTTAAACCGGTCAACCCAAGACCCGACAACTTTGCCTGGTTTCATCCCGGATTGGGTTTTGAAACATTGATCATTTTCATAAATTCACCATCTGGGCAAATGGCCAGTTTATCATGATTAGATGATTGAGAATTGATATCAAAGTACAGAAATCGACCTATTCTCTTTTAGCTATTTGGGAATTAATTTGCAGAAAAAGATGGTAGAATCAAAGACCAGGAACCCACTACATATTTAGCCAATTCTTCTCAGTAATCTTGGGCTCCGTTTGTTTTGTTATTCCTACCCATATTCCCAATCTTATTCCCAAAATATTGTTTGTTTTATTATTTGAGAAATAATATTCTATTTTTTTAATTACAATTTTAAACCCCTTAAGTTTATTAATTTAATTAAACACCCTCTAGAAAAAAAGTTTAAAAATTAACAAAAACACCCTCACCCATCCATAGTTGCCAGATTATAACAACCACCGTCAGTGGTTGCCGAAATCTGTCACAACGGTGTAGAAACGACTGGAAATGACTGGTAATTCACTGATTTGGCCTTTTCCGGTCAGATCTACACTGGATCTGACCGAAAAAAGCTAGATATGGCCGTTGCAAAGAAAACAACGATCAAATCTGGCCTTTTACAGCCGTCGAAGGTCAGATCTAGTCGTAAATCTGACTTTTTCTGACCAGATCAGTGGTGAATCTGACTGAAAAAGACCATATCGACGCACGACCGGCCAAATCCGACCAGTCTATGTCGTAACGCCATTTTCCGACCAGATTTCGACGATGTTGACCAAAATCTGGCACTATAGGTGGGCAGGGGTGTTTTTGTTATTTTATAAATTTTTTATATATTAGGATGTTTAGTTAAATTAGCAAACCTAAGAGATTTTTTTGTGAATTTTTAAATTTTACCTCGTAATACTCACCCTATTCAACTACCCAATATTATTCCCAAAATCCTATCCAAAATAACAAAACAAACAGACCCGTAATTTTCTAGATTCAATAATATCAACAATCCCAAGCAACCAACATATTACTCATGATATTACTAAATAAAAAAAAATAAAGACAATCAATAACATTGTTAAGGAATAATTTGTTCTGCAAACATCCAATTAAGTACTCCTTCATTACATCAATATAAAGCAACATACGAAATTTATCTACTTCAAAAGAGTTCAACCATATAGCCTATACAATCAATCCAAAATACAAACTCCTCCCCTTCCCTTACGACTAGAAGGGAAAAGACAACCTAAAAGATCAAAGATCCCAAGTGAGAAATATGCAACGAGGATGGTCAGAACAAAAAGATGGAGAACCAGTTTACCAAGACGACCAAGTCAGCGTAGCGGCAAGGGCAGTATCCAGGGAAATCCTAGAGAGATCAACAATTGAAACCATGGCAAACCGAAAGGATAATGATAAGAATCAATGCGATGATGATTCCCAAAACAATCAATTTAATCTTCATATTCTGGAGCCACATCTTCCTTCTCATCTTAGTTCCTTGTTGCCTGAAATCTTGCGCCTGCACCATGACAAATATGCCAAACCATGAGACCAAGATTTCAGAGAAGGTAACAGTGAAGTAAAAGAAAGAAAAATGGAAAACATAGGATATCATTGCAGAATCCGATCTAATTATACATCACTAACTGAATACTGCTACCCAAAATCATCTATGGAGATGTTCTGTCAATTTCCAGTGATGACACAAACAAGTTGCTTCAATGAATGCAAACAGTGTGTCCATTCCAACCAGATGCAAAACAAACAGACAACTACAAGCTGAACTAACCTGTGATCGAAGGTTCTCAGTTTTATCCACTAGCAGCTCAATCTTCTCACCACGGTCAAGAACCTGCAGAAAAAATGAATCTCCTCAGCTATAACAGCCATCATACTCTATATATAAAAGGATGGGGCACCCTTTATAGCCAAATGCCTCAGTGTTACCCCATTTAGCAATCGCATAACTAATTGGTGAAAAATCATGAAAAAATTTCAAAGAAAGTTAAAACAGTTGCAAGATAAGCCAGAAGCTACTCCTCACCTTCTCAATGTTTTCCATCATAACACCCTTGACTTCAGAAACCTGAGCTTTTACTTTTGCAAGTTTGCTGATCTCTTCAGGATGATCCACACAATACTGCATGTGCTCTTTCAATTTAGGCCTACAGAAAAGACAAAAGTGTAAAGAATAGCTATCAAAGGAAAAAATACAAAATGCGTCTTAATCAATTATAAGAATATAAATACCCAAACTCTCTGTTAAGGCTATTTGCAACAGCTGTGGCAGCTTTCCCTCCACCATATCTCTTGTTGAAATCTTCCTTAACTCGCTCCAAAAAGGCAATTGGAAGTTGTCTGCCAGCAGATTCAACAGCCACAACACAGTATGCTGCAGCATCAAGTGGCAGAGTTCAGCAAAGCAATAATTCATTTGTGTAACATATATCAACAAATGAATAGCCATAAATTACTAAAATAACTTTGACTCTTGACAATCCTCTGTTAACTGTTTCAGTCAATTTCTTGTCAGTTAACAAGGTGCAAATGAATTAATCACCAAGAAGCCAACAACAACAATATGGGGGTTCCATGGAAATGTTAAGTACTTGAATGATGGAAATGATTGCAAAATTTGTTTGTAGTTCCGAAATCTTGGTGACAAGGACTATCATTTTGTGTCTGCTTCTCAACTTAATGCAGAACCATTTACATGAATGGAAATAATGCAGCCAAAAACAGTTACAGAATGAGCAATACAAAGCCACATCTAAATTGATACCTTCTTTATGATCTATGATATACACTAAAACATTATACACAGAACAGAATATTATAAGAACACCAACACTATGTGTTGAAGAAAATATAAAATATCTATGCATTTCATAAGCAGTAGAATTGTGTAGCAGAGACTTGTAAGCAACGGCAAATATCTACACAATGTATCTTCCATGTTGAGATAAACAACCAGATTCCTGATCCAAGAATCTTTAGAGAAATATCCAAAATCAATGACAAGTTAATAGATAGATTTTCTCTTTTTCATAATAACTGATTGTTGAAAACCCACTTTGGGATTGTAAACCCAAATAACTAGTAAAAGTTTCGAAAAATTTAGTTAGCATGGAATACAGTAAAGGAGTGAAGAAGCAACAACTGCATAAAGTATCTTAGTACCCTCACAAACAACTAAACCCAAATAACTAATAAAGTTATTTCCCTAAATAAATGAAATAGATATATAACTAAATCACCTGCCATCTACATTTTATTAAAAAATCACATGACAAAGATGGCTAACTTCATGTAATCACACGTGACTTGAAAATTATAAGACTTGCCCCATCAGTTTTCATCTGTCAAACCCATCATCACCATTCCACACAGACTCCAATGACATGGGAAGAAAGAAAAAGGACATTTTCTTTATCACTAAACGAAAAGGAACCTTACCTCTGACATTAGTGAAAAACATATTAACTGAGCATATTAGATGATTTAAACCATCACACCAACTGTTAATCAAATATTAACATCCAAAGCAACAAACTAATCAAACACTTCAGCAGAAATATTTCATAATTTACTAAATAAATTATACTTCACGATTCTAATTCGTTTACACCCCAGAAATGGAACGGAGTCACCCTCGAGCAATTATCATTTTGCAATCTATTACTTCTTTGTGTTGCACAATAAATACAACCTTTCCAGATAATCCAAGGCCATTCCCAATATGCCGAACAACATTCAACACATTGACATCAACTCGTAACTTAATCTTACACAAAAATAATATAAAACTCAAAAATCTCCATTCCTCCGTTACCCTGTTTCACGATCCATACAAGATCCACCGAAATTAAATCTTAAAACACATCTCACAACAACCAACTCAATAATCGAAACACGAATCAAACGGTCAAACTCATAGATCCACGAAAACAATAAAAAGTAAAACGAATTAAAGACCTCAAAAAGATTAAAAGATTTAAAAAAAAAAAAAAAAAAAATTAGACCCTGATCCAGATCAGACATCACCATTTCGTCCAAATAAAACCACAAACACGAATATTTCAACAAAATAAAATAGAAATGAAACTTACTGAAGCCATTCTCAACGAGGTAATTAAAAGTATGGCCATCGCAGTTATAGGTAAACTTGTTATTGGTAGCAGGAAGTTTCTGGAGGCATTGCGAGGCGATGCTGGTGAAATTTCCGGTGAACTCGGTGTACTCGGAAAGAATCACCGTTCCACGAGCCACAAAGCTGTAGATCAAAGACTGTTGGCCCATGTCCAAACCCTAGCCCTAACTCCGAACCGAAACAAAAAAAGATTTTCTAAGGAATGTGTAGAAAGAGAAAAAGGAAGAAAGTTTGGGAAAAAGAGAGAAAGACGGTGAGATGCGAAGAACAAACTAAATAATAATAATAATAATAATAAATAAAAGCTAGATTTACGCTGGGGAGAGTTTTATTGACGCTCTTTTTCTTTTTATCGTGTGTGTCTGTTTGTTTGTTGGTTTTGGTTTTGGTTTTAATTTAAGAAATTATAAAAATAAAGTAAAATAAAAAAAAGAGAGTCACGCGGTTCTTCTCGAAACTTTGTGAGGATCAGTACGGAAAGGTTGAAAATTAAAATGGGAAGTTTCTTGGCAGCCAATTCCTATATAAATAGCAAATATGGTTGTGGATTAGTATTTTGTTTTATAAGGTGATTAGTTAATCTAAGTATCAAATTNAAGCTAGATTTACGCTGGGGAGAGTTTTATTGACGCTCTTTTTCTTTTTATCGTGTGTGTCTGTTTGTTTGTTGGTTTTGGTTTTGGTTTTAATTTAAGAAATTATAAAAATAAAGTAAAATAAAAAAAAGAGAGTCACGCGGTTCTTCTCGAAACTTTGTGAGGATCAGTACGGAAAGGTTGAAAATTAAAATGGGAAGTTTCTTGGCAGCCAATTCCTATATAAATAGCAAATATGGTTGTGGATTAGTATTTTGTTTTATAAGGTGATTAGTTAATCTACGTATCAAATTAACACTAATCAATACAACTTAATTGGGACACACAAACTTTTCCCCTATTTGTACAATATCAATCCACCCCACAGCTAATTTCTATTAGCAAATTACACCCAAATTTTTAATAAATGTTGAAATATGTTAGTTTACGATAATATCTAGTCCAAACTCTAAAATTCCCCTACCATCTTCCATAAGAATGGTATGACCTTAAACTCTATCTCATTCCCATATTTCATTGTAAACAAGTTAAAAAAAAAAAAAATTAGTGGTTGGGATTCATGTATAAGAATAGGTTTTCGGATATTTTATTAACTTATAAAAAAAATATTGGTTGATTGTTATTTTCTTTGATTTATTATTGTATGTACAAAATTGGTCTTTTAATCTTACATATTAGATTCTTGTGAAATAACAAATTTTATAACCGACATTAGTTTTTTTTGGATGTTTTTGTTAGTAAAAAAATAAACGTGGGGTGAACTTAGCCAACTAAAAACTCAAGGGAAAAAAAGTTATTAATCAATGGTGTTATACGGTAGCTTATGTGTCTATCTACCCCTTAATCCACAAACTTTTTAAGATTAAATTGTATTTATCCAAAAGATTAATTTAGAATATCACATGTACCATACTACATTTATATGTGAATTTTTTTGGCTCACATCTAATTTTACTCCAACTCTTTCAAATCCAAATAAAAATCAACTCATCCCAAATTAATCAAATTCATTTTCACCCTCTTCTTCCTCACAAAACCCAACATCAAGGACAAAAAATTAAAATAGCATATTTGTGATAATAAAAGGTGGGTTAGAAAACCACTTGGACTTGTGTCTGGATTGTAAGACCCTAAGTTACCAATGTCTTGAGTTCGAGTTCCACCAAGTAAATATCCACCATATTTGTGACTTACTTGATCTATTGGATTTGTAGAGTATGCACAAATTGACTCAAATACTTCGGTCATTAAAAAAAAGACTGATCAGAAAAGGAAAGACTACGGTGGAAGGATTATGACCGCCTCATGGCTTATTGCAAACTGATTCTTGACAAGCCCCACGATGATTGTAAGACAACAAAAGCTTTGTAATTTTAATTTTTTTTCTCATTTTGATATTTTTGGTATTGGTTTGAATTGTCTTTAGAGTTTTGGCAGTTTGGTTGGGCATGAGATATATTAAGGTTTGTTTAATGCTATATGTGATATAAAATGATATAAATTATCCTCCGATGTGTAACTTTATAATATTTCGACATGGAAATAGGGTGACATTTGTTTATGAAATTGAGGGGAGAAACGTCTTTTCACAATAGATTTTAAAGTCAGAATGTATTTCACTGTATTTATATAACATTAATGTACAGTATTAGCTTATAATATAATTGATATGATGTCTTGTGGTACTTCTGTTTTCTTGATAGTTTAAGTTTTGGGATATTATTTATTGGATACAAACATTTCAAAAAGTTATTATTTTACACAGAAGTTTCAAATTCTTCGTTAAGGTACAATAAAGTCACAAATATTTCGATTAAAGGACAATAAATAATTAATTGGGTTTAGATCTAACATTTTTTAAGGATAAAAGGGTAATTATATATATATATATATTTTTTTTTTTTTTGGAAAAACCATGACTATATTATGTGTGCAATTGGTAATTGTGATCATAGTTTGTCACTAGATATATTAGAACTATAGTTGAACAAAGGTGAAATGTTTTTTTTATTCAATAATTACTCAATTGATTCGCTAATGTATTAGAGTCGAGTAATTTAGAAAATATGTTAATAAAGCTGGTTTCTGATTAATTTATTGAAATATGAGGTGGAGATTGATTAAAATCCTGTGTGCTTTTCACATGTTACTTATACTTTAGTATTAAAACATGTTTTAACGTGTTTAATTAATTTAGAAGACATAAAACGAGTTTGAATAAAATGTTTTGGTGGTTGAATGTCTACTGCAGAAGCTTTGGGAAATAGTGGATTTGTTTTATAAGAGAAAGTAAAATTGACCAATCATATATTGTCGCGTACATGTTTATCCAGTCTTATCTTATTTATTTTAATATGTATAATTTAAAAGTTTAGCATTATGGACCGATTCCCATTCTTCTTATACTTATTTTCTTTAATGTATTTATTGAAAACATGCTTTTTTTTTTTTTTTTTTAATTATTATGGTTCTATAATAATAATAATAATATGACACTATCATATAACTTATTCATCCACATCCTTTCTTTTCTTTCCTTATTTTTAATCGTGGCGGTGGACTTTTTTTCAAAAAAAATTAAAAAAAAATCACTAGTTTTAAAAGTCAATGAAAAGGATCAAAACCCAATTTTGTTTTATTTTACTATTTTTTTCATGTAGTTACTAAAATACACTTAATAGTATAAAAAATAAAAATTAAATTTCTTTTCAACGATAAATAAATAGTATTTTTAAATAAATAAAAAAGGTTTTTTCGACCATTTAGGTTTCATCAAATAACAATCATATTTTTCTAAGGTTTAATAAATTGTTGAGCAAACGACATGTTCCCACCCAAGGTTTAACGAAATCTCGAGTTCATACCCCTAGTTGTACTTATTCCAAATTCCCACCCTTAAACTATCTTTATTAGTTAATTTTGAATTCTGATTTTTGCTATTACTATCTTACCCTTCACATTTTATTTCACTGCACCTAGCTACCATCACCCAAGCACCAGCGTTTTTAGGCTTGTTTTGGTTGATTTTTCACCCAAAATCGCCTCATCTTCCTTGTAACCCCTACACCAAAACCCACGACACCCCTTCACCGTTGCATCCTCTGATCGTTAGAAAATGACATGTGCTTGGCTGGGCAGTTGATTGAGGAATTTTCTCAAACAACTAGTAGGCATGACTTTGAATGAAGATTTTTGGGCTGGTGAATAATAATCGGTGGCCAAAGAATGCACAACAACCACAACAAAGAAACAGAGAGGAGGATGGGGGTCAAAAAGGCAGAAAATGATGGAACAAGAGTGCAAAAAAAGTTGTCACACGACGGTGGGAATAGAACTTGGGCAGCAAACGATGAGCAACCATGGGCGATGCGAGGGTGGGTTTTGTAGAGGTGCTGAAGGGGATTCGATTGGTGGTTTTGGGGTGAATTTTCAATAAGGGAATCAGTCGAAATCTGGCCGCAAGGTTAGGAGAATGCCAAGGCGTTTTCTGGTGATTGGAGGGTGCAACTATGAAGGTGTTTGGTGTGTTTTGGTGTAGGGGTTACAAGGAAGAGGTTGGAGGTGATTTTGGGTGAAAAATCACCTGGAACAAGGTTGAAAGCGTTGGCGGCTGGGTGGTGGTGGTGGCTGGATGGTGATGGTGGCTGGGTGGGGTGAAATAAAATATGGAGGGTAGGATGGTAATAGCACAAGTCATAAGTCAAAATTAATTAACAGTGTTAGTTTAAGGGTATGAATCTAAAATAAATGCAACTAGGGGTATGAACTTGAGATTTCGCTAAACCTCAGATGGGAACATGATGTTTGCTCTAAATAGTTTATACAATAGTTAAACAAAAACATACTTTCACCAAACCAACAAAAATCGTCCAAATATTAAGGGCCTGTTTGGTAGATTATTTGAAAATTGATATTCTGAAAAACTATTTTAAGTTAAGTTGAGTTGGATTAAATCGACTAAGATAGGATTTTGAGAATTGTTCGGTATAATATATGAAAATTATATCAGAGTTGGATAAAATATAGAAAAGTTGTTTGATACATTTTTGGAAAACATTTAGATTATTTTTTAACCTCTTACATTTGTTAATTTAGCTAAACACTATCACAATAAAACTTTAAAAATTAATAAAAACACCCCCACCCACCTAAGCCACGGTCGATTGTTGGCTAATAAAACTTTAAAAATTAATAAAAACACCCCCACCCACCCAAGCCACGGTCGATTGTTGGCTACCACCGTCAAACGACAGCTGGTAGTTGTTGGAACGGAACGGCCATAATCTGGCCATAGATCTGGTAGTTGTTGTTTCGGCGTTGGTGGTTGCTGGCTGGGATGCTTTAGTTAATTTTTAAACTTTTATTGTGGGGGGTGTTTAGCTAAATTAACAAATATAGGGGGTAAAAATGATCTAAATGTTTTGAGTTGAATATAATAGGATAATCTAAATGTAAGGGATGCTTTGCAAGATTTCTTTGTAAGTGTAGTATTATTGTAATAAAAAACAAGTCCCCCCTCTTTTCATTTTCAATAGAAAAAATCTTATTTGATTCGGATTAATTTTCAGAATAATGATCCCAATAAGTAAATAAATATATATTTTGTTTTCTAATCTTAATAGGATAATAGAAAAATGATTCTAAAAAGTGAACGTTTGGTTCAAAATTTGGGGATTTTGG